CCTTGTTTAGTTTAGTTAAAAATCATATTTTTAGTAATTTCGATAAAAGTCGATAAAATATGTAGTTAGAAAATTGATAAAAGTTGTAGAACCTAGAAAATGTACTATTAAAAATAAACTTAAGAAACTCGGGTGGCGAATCAGGGAGGAAGGCCGCCACTCCTCAAGATTAGTTGGGCGAAACTCGGATACCTGAGTAAAAATGAATAAATAAATTTAAGAAAAAATAGAAAATGAGAGTCAAACATGGGCTTAATCAACTCGAAGCTACGATTAACTCTAAATACCAAGCCATTTTTGGATGCAAACATCATTTTGTGGGATGTATGTTTAGATTGTGATAGTAGAGGTGTGAATGGTTTTTGATTTTCAACTTATCTCTTTAACAAATCTTTTCTTATTCATTTTTTTGAAATTCATTTTTATCACATATTTAATTAGATCCACAATTTTTTAACTACACATTTCATCGATATTTATCAAAATTTACTAAAAATCTAATATTTATCGAAACCAAAGAGGGACATACTATCTTCAAATAAATAGACACACACACACACACACACACACACACAATGTAGTTTATATTTAGGCCCCGTTTGAGCCGCATTCTTGTGACTCAAACACACACTTAGTAAATCAATGATTTAAGCATCATTACAACATCATTTATTATATATATATATATATATTAATGGTTGAATGGTCCAATTTTATGGTGGTTGAGTTTTGACAACTAAACTTGTAAGACTATTGCTCAGTTATATTTAGAAGAAATCTGATAATTTGGAGCTCATTAGGTATTTAGATTCAGACTTTGTTGGATATGTGGATGCTAAAAAGTCTAATTGGGCCACTTGTTCCTCTTGGCTGAAGGAGCTATATCATGGAAAAGTGAGAAGTAGTTAGTCACTATTGCATCCATTATGGAAGTTGCATTTGTGGCATACCTTGATGCCACAATTCAAAAAAATTGGCTACAAAACTTTATTTCAGGGTTTGAAATTGTCGATAGTACTGTCAAGCTATTAAAACTTTATTGTGATAATTCTGCAACATTATTCTTTTCAAAGAATGACGGGTATTCTAAATGTGCTAAAAAAATATGAAATTGAAGTACTTTACCATTAAAGAAGAAGTTCGAAAACAAAAAGTGTCAATCGAACATATTAGCATCATTGTTATGATTGCAGATTCTCTAACAAAAGGATTGTCAGCAAAGATATTTAATGAACATGTCGAAAGAATGGGTATTATTGAAAATGATAACGACATTATGTAATTTATGATATTTATATATTTGGCACTTTGAACTTGTTAATGTATTGTTTTTGACAAAATATTATTCTTGTCGTAATTGTTGGTATATGTACATGAATAGATTGTGTGAATACTAAAACGAATAGTTTTTTTTTTTTGGATACATTACTAGAATGTAATTATTGAACTTCTCATTACATATCATGCTCATTGAGAACCAATATCGTAGCACACGAAAGGAATTATGCCGAAATGATGATGTACAACCGCCATGACTCTTCTTAGTCACTACTTAATGATGATATATTAAGTAACCGAAGTAAGAAGGATTTTAGCTTATAACATGCGCATTATATTATAGACCACACAACCAAATAATATTACACGGGCCACATGGGAGAATGTAAGACCAAATAACTGTGACCCATGTAATATTATTATAAATTAATTAAAGTGATATATTATTGCTAAAATCCTATTAACCAGTTGAGAAATGATAGTTTCCTAACTATACACGTTGATGGAAAAGTTGATAGTTTTAATGCTCATAAAAAAATTGCCTCTACCTATAAACGTGAATTCATTCCATCAATTAATGACATTCAATTACGGAGAGGTAAATAAAGAGAACAATTTATTTACTTACTAGTTTCTCTTTTACAGATTTAAATCATTCAAGTATTGTTATGGATTCAAGTATGTTTCTTGATCAATTAAATTTATATGTGAAAATCATGAATTCTAAAAATCTTGGTATTAGGGTTTTAATTTCTTACATGCGGTGTATATATATACACACACAATGTAGTTTATATTTAGTAAATCAACGATTTAAAAATTATGACAAAAATCATTTATTATATATATTAATGGTTGAATGGCCCCTTAATTTTTGATTAAGTAAATTAATTCATAGCATTTTATCTTAGATTAAAAAAATTAAATCTAAATACAAATAGAGTACTTGATGTTTTAAAACAAAATGAGTGTAAATTAAATAGATGGACCAAGGGACCAAGGGCTCGGGACAAAAGGAAAATAAATAGGGAAAAATTATAACAACAAATATTTTCAATAAAATTGTGGAAAAAATTCAAAAATCAGGTGGTCACATTTTAGTGAAATCTAATAAAATGTTGTGACATATAATTTAATTAAATAGGTTACGACTACAATAGCTCAACTTTTTTTATGTTCAAGACCACTTGCATAATTTTCAAATTACTATAGAAAAATAAAAGAAAATATAATTGGGAATAACACTATTTATTTAGACCAAATTGACAAAATTGAAGTTTTAAAATATTCCCCATTTTGTTCCCTCTTTCCCTTTATAAATAATTTTTATTCCATCTATATCCTTTTTTATCTTTATAATTAATTCAATTTAATTTATTTGTATTGTTTTAGAATGATTGCTACTTTTATTTAAAATTTATTTTTAAATTATAATCAAATAATAAGTAATAATTATTGATACAATAAATTAAAATTGTTCATGTATTTTTTTTTTAAAATTATAGCATTTTGTTTATTTTTTTAATTTATGTGCTATTTTAGTTCATTAAAATATAAATTTTAATTTAATGATTTTAGTAATAATATAATCTGCAATTAAATTGAATTCTAATCAAGTAATAAGTAATAATTGTCGGTACAATCAATTAAAATTGTTCACGTAATTTTTTAATGCTCAACAGCAAAAAATCCCATACATACTTGATGATGTGTGGAATACCTCTTACCTATTTGAAATCGTAGAAAAGGTCCACATATTAAAAATTATGTGCTGAATACAATCTTTTGGGTACGAAAAATCTCTACACCAATCAATTCTATTAGTTTAATTGTTAAAAACAGTAAAAATTGTCAAAATGAAAAAGGAATAATTGCGATTGCACTCCCAAATTTTTTATTTTTTTACAAATTTTACTCAAAATTTTTATACGTGTCAACTACAATTCCAACCCCCAATTTTAAAGGATAAAATGGTAAATTTATATTTTCATACAAAATAGTTAAAATAAAAAACAAAAAACAAAATTCCCCCTCAGCCCAGCCCCTCAAATCCTACCCCACCCCTTAAACTACGCATTGCCTTATTTTGGGTTTAATCGTAGTTCAATATGGCAGATCATGCCTACATTTCAGTACTCTCCTTCAAACCCAAATTGGCCGAATGGCTCCAGCCTCAATTTCTCTATTTTATTCTTTAAAATTGGGGAAGAGTATAAAGTTTTAAAGATTTGGGATTGTGGTTAGTACTTATAAAAAATTTAGGAATAATTTGTAAAAAATAAAAAGTTTGGGAGCGTAACTGCAAGTATTCCTTTTTAAATTTGACAATTTTTACTCCTTTTTACTGTTAAACCAATAGAATTGGATTGTAGAGGGGTTTTGTACCTAAAATGTTGTATTCCGCAAAAAAGGTTTCGAACCGGGGCATTTTTTGTTATTTCCTGTAGGTATGGGGCATTCTGCACATCATCAAACATGTAGGTTAGTTTTTTGCTATCGAGCCTTTTCTTAATTATAGCCTTGGTTTCTTTTCTATTATTTACCTCTCAAAATGAAAAATATTCTATTACATTAAATCACTATATTTGACTTTATATCTCTTTAATATTCTCGGCCTGTTGATTTTTTGACCGTTATTTCACTATTTCAACCGTCATATTTAACTTCTTCTCTCATAGGTGGACCCCACTTTTTTCCTAACGATCAAAAAATCAATTTTCAAAATCACTCCCAAACAAGCTCTCTATGTTAATTTTTTTAATTATTAATTTATGTAATATTTTAGTTCATTAAATATAATGTTTAATAAATTCTGGTGTAATGGTCACATTGAAGATGGCCCAAATTCAAGATTTAGATCGCATCCCAAATAAAGCGCGTGAATCAGTTTGTTGTTCACACAGTGGCGCGCAAATTACAACCACAACTTACAGGGCCCACATTTCACTCACACCATAATAAATAAAATTAAAGCACATCTCGAAAGACTCTCTATTTATAAATAGTATTTTATGCATGACAAAGAGAATATTTAAATTTAGAGAGTAATTTTTTTCATGCACTTCAACAAGCTTTCTACTTTGATTTTTTATTTTGTTTTTTCTAATGAACATTTAATATTTCTCCACATATTTTATTCAAGTATAATTTTTTATATATTAATGACCAATCAATTCAAACGTAATTTGAAAATATTAAATTATAGAGTATTAAAATTTGTTATATTCATTGTACATTAAAAATAGGGAGTGAGTTTGACTCTTTAAATTTGGAGAGTCAAACATTCTTTATGTTAAAAAGTTAAAATACAAAGTCTTTTAGAGTTCATTTTTAAGATGGTATTTGAGCCACATTTTTACGTAAAAATATATTTTAGAATCGTAAATTGATGAGAAATATGTGGTTGAAAAATAAAGAAAAGATCTTGATTTATGTGTAATATTATTTTAATAAAGAATGTATGTCTGAAAAGAAGTGAGTAAAAAATATATTTTGAAAAAAAATAGTACCTAATGGGGCTTAAATATTGATTTTCTAAAGTAGAGAATCTTTTTATTTAAAGAGTTTTTGAAAATGCTTTCAAAAGCGCAATACTTGCACGGCATCCTGAGCCGTGGAATCAGAATGTATACACCCGTGTGTAGGCTAACAAAACCCAAGCAAGTAATTTTTGCCATATGGTATTATAAATTGCGATTTTCACTAGCAGCGATTATTCTGTCTCCTCATTTTCTCATTCTCTCTCTATATAAGTATATCCTCTCTCTAAAAGAGCTCCTATTTTCGTCATATCATCCGAGACGATAGAAACTCAGATTTTGCAGATTTTTCGTTCAATTCAAACAGAAAACCTAGATTTTCGCACCTTAATCAAACCCCTAATCCATTTCTCAGTCCCCTCGAGTCCAATTCCTTCGTATCTCGCCAGATCTGATCGCCGTTCAAAAAAATTTCCCCTAAATTTTTAAAAATTGAATCGATCCTTTTCTTTTGCATTTTTGTGTAACGGAATTGAATTCAATTAAGTTAAGTTATATCCGTCGTGTAATTTTGACTAACTGGGTGAGATTTTGTTAGAATTATTGTGTGCATGGTGGGCATGGGAAGGATTTATAAGGAGACCGCCAAACCCTCGTCGTCGACGGCATCTCCGTCGGCTCCCGCAGTGACGACGTCGACGTCTATAACGGAGACGGTGAATGGGTCTCACGATTTCAAGATTACGGGTTATTCATTGTCCAAAGGAATTGGGATCGGGAAGTATATAGCGTCGGACACTTTTATGGTCGGTGGGTACTCGTGGGCGATCTATTTTTATCCTGACGGGAAGAGTGTGGAGGACAACGCAACGTATGTCTCGCTTTTTATTGCCCTAGCGAGTGAGGGCACGGACGTGAGGGCTCTTTTCGAGTTAACGCTTATGGATCAAAGTGGGGGTGAGAGGCATAAGGTGCATAGCCATTTTGGTAGGGCGCTGGAGAGTGGGCCGTATACTCTTAAATACAGAGGCAGCATGTGGTGAGTTGTCAATTATTCTGTCGCCTCTTGCCTTGAATTTGCACCTGGATTTAGTCTTTTTATTGATGTATGTAATATTTGTATCTGATACTTCGGTTAAAGTAGTTGTTTAACTTGTGCCTAATCTCTTCAACTTCAGCTAATTTTGTGTACATTTTCGATTTTTCTTTAATTTTGATACAAATAGATAAACGACAATGTTTTATAACTTATATACTATACAAATTCTGGAATAGTTTATTAAAGGAAATGAATTGACTGGATGGTCAATATTGGAATGTGCTGTCACTGATTACCATTTTTTCCTCTTAACTATTTTTTGGTGGTTAAGACGTTCTGCTAATGAATTTGATATATATTGTCTTGGAGTCCATCTTGAATAGCTTTGTTTGGTTCACGGTATCTTTCCGCAAGATTGGTTAAGAACTAATATCCTTTTTCTTTCTTTTATTCCGGATCCCTTGAATTCATTAGATACTTATTACTATCTCAAAAAAGAAAATCTTTCATTCTTTTTTGTCTTAAACGTCTTATAACGTATTTTCACTACCTAAGTTGTAGAGACATACACAAAATAGGAATGTCTTTTCGAGATTGGTTAATTATTAAGTAGCCAGACATCCAGTTTCTACATGGAATGCACGCATATCACTGATGTTGGTAGGGGATTAAGGTAAAGGAAAGGAAAACGATAAAAAATTCTGAATAGGTTTATTTTTAAATGCTGTTCATGTTACTTCAGAAACAATGTAAAACAGTTGGTACCCAAATTGTGATTTGATGTGTTGCAGATATGTTCCATATTTCCTTGAAGATGATACATGACTGAGTTTGTAGACTACCCTTTTATGGACATGACAAAAGATGAGTAGCTATTGTGTAAACGATATACATGTTATTTTACTTTGCTTTGGTTATTTACATATTTTCTCTCTTGAGCAATGTTTCTGTGTGAGTTATGGGCTTAATGGTAGAGTTTGTGTCGGATTCTAGTTTTTGTGTAAATTTTCTTTGAACTTATTTTTCTGGAGTTATGCTCTTCGTATTCACGTCCTTAAGCGTGCAATATCAGTGAACTTTTAAGGCGAAAGTATTGGCACAATGTACATGCTGTAATTTCCGATACTGCAGGGGATATAAGCGGTTTTTCAAAAGATCTACTTTGGAAGGATCGCACTACCTGAAGGATGATTGCCTTCAAGTACATTGCTGTGTTGGTGTTGTTAGGTCTAACACAGAGGGACCTAAGATCTACGCTATACCAATACCACCATCTGACATTGGTCAGCATTTCGGGCAGCTGCTGGAGAGTGGAAAAGGAACTGATGTAAATTTTGAAGTTGATGGAGAAATTTTTTCGGCTCACAAATTGGTACTTGCTGCTCGTTCACCAGTATTTAGAGCTCAATTATATGGTCCCATGAAGGATCAAAATACGCAGTGTATAAAAATAGAAGATATGGAGGCACCTGTTTTTAAGGTCTTCTGCAACTCCTCCCTCTCTCTGTAATAACAGTTGCTAAGTTATATTTATACTATTTGCTGGAAATTTATTTATTTATTTATTTATTTTTTTTTTTGTATCTTTGTTATATTATACTGTGGCTCATGATATTTACTTTATTAAGTATTCAGCCTTTGGGTGAACTGATGTTTTCTGTGCTTGTATCATTTATGCAGTCTGTCTTTTGCCTAGGCTAATATGTATTTGAGGGTAACCAAATCTGGTAAACATTGTTCAAAGAAATATATGGCTAAATAATAGTAGTATTGTGCTTGAGAATGACTAGAAAAGTTTAGTGATGTTAGGATATAGCAATCTGCATAGTGTTCAAAGGTCCCTAGCTGTATGTCTTGCTATATCGAACCAAAACAGATTAATAAAAGAAAAGAAGGTTATCCTGGCAGAGGTATTTGATCTGTTGTGTTGCAATAAACCAATTAACTGAGGATACGATATTTTTCTATTGAAAAAGTGGAGAAAGCAACTCATCTTCTGTAGCAATGTAAAATGGCAGGCTAGGTGGATTTTTATCTGGCTTGACAGCTTGTACTTGGATGGGGACCCTGGTTTTAGGTGTATACCATTAGATTTGGGCAGCTTAGTGTATGTTTCATAGCAAAGCTTTTAAGTGCTTATAAATTGATTAAACATCATTTTAAACAACTACTTTTGTCTACTATTTAAGCTTACATTCCTCGGAACACACTGCGTATAAGAACTCAAATTTTTTGCCAAACAAGCACAAAGATGATGTTATTTTACCGATTTGAGGCTCTTCTTCATATTTGAAGATTAGTTGATTTTTTGGGTCTGGTTTCTGTCGGCAGTTTGGGTTTATTTGACTAAGCTACTGAAAATTCTCCATTGGGCATCGGTAAATAATTCAAGAAATTTCTTAACACCTATAACAGTTGCACCAATTCTTGCTAAAATTTGGTATCATAATGGGTAATGACTGGTAAAATGAAACTTTAAGCTTCGAAGCTTGAAAACTGTTCGGTAATTTTTGTGTTTCAAGTGAGTTAAACATGCACACACAGCATTGTTGTGTATCTGCTGGTGTTACATTGCCATCAATAATGTGCCTAGTTTATGCAAGGTTACGGATGTCATGAATTGCCTATTTAAACAAGTGATACTTCCTGCTATTTATCAACTTATAACAATACTTGAAATGTCAGTTTGGAAGGTGTCTTATTTGATTCAATCTGTTTAAAACTGTTTGTTGATGAAGAAATTTTCCATCTAGTTGACACTTATTTTTTGATTAATTACTCTTGTTACATGTTTCTTGTAGGCCTTACTTCATTTTATATACTGGGATGTGCTACCTGACATGGAAGAACTTACTGGGATGAACTCGAAATGGGCTTCAACATTGATGGCTCAGCATCTACTTGCAGCTGCTGATCGGTATGGTTTAGATAGGCTCCGGTTGCTTTGTGAGGCTAATCTCTGTGAGGATGTTGCTATAAATACTGTTGCAAATACGCTGGCATTGGCAGAGCAGCATCATTGTTTCCAGCTGAAATCTGTGTGTCTCAAATTTGTTGCATTGCCTGAAAATCTTAGAGGTAAATCTTGTCTACTTTAGTTTTCAACCTTGTTATACACAATGGCATTTACATGCTTTACCAATTAACTGGAGTCTAGTGAGGAATACTTTGGATGAGTCAGAGTTCCATCCACTTAATTAGTTTATGTTTCCTTTAAAATCTTATTTTATTATCTTTTTTTTCAGATATTTAAGAAAGAAATTTTACACACCAAGAACTATGGGCATAGCCATATTGCGATTGGCACTTGATACCGCCATCTGACCTCCAGTTATATTAAAATCACAATCTCGATCTTAAGATTGTAGGAACCCTATTGCTTTTCTACCTTTTCTATCACCTCATGGAAAGCGATAATGACATTCATTTGTTCGTGCTATTTTTGAACCCTTTTGCTTTTCTACCATTTCTTTTGATCACTTTTAAAAATAGCTTATTTCATTTTCCTTTTTAATTTGTGTGTACTGCTTTTTCCTATTAAAATATACAGAAATACTGCCAAACCTTCACTAACACAAACAATTCATTCTGGATTAGTCTCATGAAACTAAGGCACTTGAGTACAAATCTTTTGTTTTTGGAAATGTCCATTTGATCTGATACACACGATAAGTTAACCATTTGGTCTTTTTTTCTCTTATTTTAAATTAGCTTTTGGTGCCTTTGCTATATAGGAAGCCCATGCTGCTACGTATTAATAAATTTTTTCAAAGCTCTGGTTGTTGACAAACAATTTGCATTTTTGTTTATCGAGAGAGAGAGAGAGAGTGAGCGAGCTTTATTGTATTTAGTCTTAAGTTTGTAAAGGCTTGATATGAATTGTTACCGACAAATCGACACTTTTTTTTTTTTTGGCAGCTGTTATGCAGACCGATGGGTTTGAGTATTTGAAAGAAAGCTGTCCTCGCGTCCTCACTGAATTGTTGGAGTACGTTGCCAGGATCACTGAACACTCCATTGCCATTGGCAAGCATGGGAATGAAGGTATGATGGATGGAAGTGATGTGAATGGTCGACGCGTGAAGCAGAGACTATAGGAGTTGCTACTGACTTGTACTAAGGAAGAAAGAGAATAGCTTAGATCTTCTTTAGGGTTATTAGTGAAACATTTTTCGAGCTGCAGCTTCCAGCATGATACTGATGTAAATTTAATGGTTCAGTCACGTGTACTTTGGTTTTTTTGTAATATTAAAGACTAATTGAGAGAGTCGATTTGCTCCTGTTGTGAATTGTACTTTGTGTATGGCTCTGTTCCAAGGGAACAAATTTATAAATATAAAGCTCTCGCTCTCTCGCTCTTGTTCGAAAAATGACTGTATGAACCAACCAGGCTGGATTCTAATTGAACCGAATTTCGTTGAATAGTCATATTCCGAAAAGGTTGTGATTGATTGGAGGTGTAAAATGGAATGTGGTGTGGTTCAAGGGTCTACGATTTTTGTTATGTACTTAGTGGACCTTGCTTGTAAGTATCACATTTGAACGGTCACCTTATATATTATCATGTTGTTTAGTACGAAAGCAGGTGCTTAAGTAATTCTTTGTTTTGTCATAAAAATTTACAAAATACTTTGTTTAAGTATGTACTTATATATTGTCATGTTGTTTTGTAATTATTTATATAAATGGATAGTTGTTTGAGAGGTTGCAGGCTTCTCTCGGTGAACACCAGGAAATGTGTTCCCAACCTGCTCCTCTTCTCCCTTTTGAGTTGACCTGAGGAATTCTCTCTTTCACCTTCTATTATAAACAAATTGAGATATTCGTAACCTTGTGACAGGAAATATTGCTCTTGTTTGAGCCACATTATTTTTCTTAGAATGTATTTTTGAATAGTGTATTGATGGGAAATATGTGGTTAAAAAATAAAGAAAAATTTTGAATTTGCGAAATATGTGATTGAAATGATATCAAATCACTGTTTAAAAAAAAATTTTTTTTTTTTAAATGTTGTTCAAACATGGCCATTATTGTTATTGTCAGAAATGGCCTTTATAGGTTACGTGCATACCAACTTCAAGTTTTTTATTTTACTATTAGTGAGAAAAACGTGCGTTGCATGTTAGTTGGTAAATGTTAAATATAAGTGTGTGGTGATTGTTGAACGAACATATACAACAGTTCTAAAAAAGCGGCCAATCTACCAACAGTTAATTTCTTCCACAATCAATTTCTTCCAAACTTGTTATAGAAATATTATGAATACAATTAAATAGGCAAAGATTTAATCTTGTGGTTATATAAAAAGGGGCTCGCAAATATAAATTCTCAATGGAAATTATATAAAAAGGCTCTCAATTTTTCGCTATATAAACATACCAATTTACACTTATGCCTTGAGAGATACAAAAATTTAATTACCATTTACACTACGTTTATTTTTATAACATCAATAATTACGAAATCCAAACTGCTCTAGCGACATTTTGATCTTTAGAAAATCTCAGCTACTCATCTTCCCCGACTTTGCCACACCCACCCTCGTTGTAGAAATTAAGGCTCACCAATTTACAGAAACACAAGTCAAGCTTATTGCACCGGTTCATGGACAGCAGGTTTGAACTCATCAAGATCCGACACAACTTTACCTTGAATCAGCCTCTTATCATTGGCCTCATGAACTTCTTGAACTTGTGTAATTGGAAATGTTCTCTCCACTGGGATCATTAGCTTTCCAGCATTGGCTAGAAGGCCAATCTCATCTAAGCCTTCAGCATCAGCCCTCACGTAAGTCCAATATTCTGTATCATGTCATAAGTAGGCATTAATAAGATAATGATGAAGCTATCACTAATCTCAAGCGTACTGTAAGAACATAAGAAAACATGCAATTGATTGCTAGTCCGTATCTATTTATCAAGGATGTAGCCTCCCCCTGCAGCAAACACGACAAAAACTTTGCGGCTTTCCCTTATCGAAGTTCAAAATATTAACAGGCTCTTTTTCCTTCTCATGAGAAGATTCTTATCCAGCAGTGTTTTATCTTCAGTTAAATAACTTCACGGAACAGCTTGGCGTACAGTCTGTATTTGGTTCGTCTTCATTGCAGGTGGAATATACATGAAGGAAGTTGATCGTATTCCTAGGCCTGGTGGCTGCTGGATGCTTCAAACTTTAAAGCATGGCAATGCCCCAAGGAGTGAAGAGACTGCTAAGCTTCTGTAACAACCCAAATTTTTTTATTTTATTTTATTATTATTATTATTTTTATTATTATTTTAGTCGCTACCAACTTTATTATAAAAGAATCAAATTTATTGGAAACCACATGATTAATAAATTTTAAATTATCATCTGGCACATTCTAGAAATCTAATCTGCTAGGAGTAAATGAGTATATTTCGACGTGTTCATGGCCAACTAAACATTTTAACTAAAGAATTTTAGCTAACAGGTGACAAAAGACAAAGATACTTTTAAAAACTTATTTTCATTGAGAAAATCCAAACACGTTACATCACATGGCTATGAGAGTTACATTTACTACTTTGAAATGAATTTGTCAGTAAAGAAATTGTTGGATATTGGTTAAATAAATTGAGAATTGAAAATCGATTAAAGTTCGTATCGAATTCGGCCAAATACTCAAAAGCTCGACTCAATCAGTTTAGGCAAAATTGTTTGCCACTTCGCCGTTTCGGGGCGCACAAACGGGGATCGACCTGCCCGGTCAGGTCGCGAGGGTCGAGGGGGCAGCGCCCCTCGTGGGGGGTCGGGGGCAACGCCCCCGAAAGAGAATTTTGATTTCTCTGCATGTATTGAAGGGTATATTTGGCATTTCGAAAACCAATATCGGATGAATGAGAAATTACGAAAAAGACCTCAACCATTAATGAATAGACACCTTTTCATAAAGGTGCATTATTTGGAAAGGGTGCATGGTTTGGCCTCAACCATTTCGTCCACACTCCTTCATGGTCTATAAATAGGATCCTTTGGGTGTTCTATTCCTCACAGTTTGATATGCAAAAACGTCTCTCATCCTCTCTTCTATCCAAAATCAAAATCATTTCATTTATTTTGATTTTCTTTCATTTCATCTGTGGAGTACATAAGCCTACATTTGGTTCGTTGTACTTGTGTTTTGGAGTGCTACAAACACAAGTGTAGCCGTTGTATCTTGGGAGTCAATTGCCGAAATCCGTAGGCACCGTTGCGGGGCAAATTCGACTTAAGGACAAAGAGTCCAACTCTTGCCTTGGCTTTGTCACCATCATTATTCTTATTTCGGCGTCACTATTCACAAAATTCTTCCAATAGAAATATTCAATTATTATTAAACAGTGACATTGGTGTAAGAAATAATATTTAATTCGAACAGTATATAAAATGAAATGACATTTGTCCGTATTTAACATCTTTTATACTAGCATGATTAGTGAATATGGGTTATGAATATTTTTATCAAAAATCCAATTCAAAGTACAAATGAATAATACAACTTCACTGCATAAAGTTAACTGTGGTAGGCAGACAATTGAAAATTTGGTGTGACAGGTACAGAATCATTGTTTTGACCATGCATCTTATAAATCTTGAAAAGGCTGTAGATGCCTTAGAAAAATGCAAAAGTCTTTGACGTGAACTTGACAGTTAATCAATTTTCTTTTAACCATTAAAATCGATAAAAGCAGTAACATATAGTTCGAGCTCTATTTAAAATGAATTAAACAAAAAAAAAATATCCATGTAGCAAATAAACATAATTGATAACTTAATCTTTAAAATAGGATGTCTATGGCAATGAACTAAAATTACTTGTTAAAATTATAAATTCTCGTCCAGCAAATGAGGCACAACCACGCATCGAATCACCACGCTCCAACAGGACCTGATCTAACCTGTGAGGTGTAGGAAAAGGGTGAGTACATGGGAATACTCAGTAGGATATTACATTAATGGTGCGATCCCGAAAAATAATTTTAACACAAGTGTCAGAATACCATACCGTCGCATAACTTTAAATCCGGTAAGAGCTCACATCATATCATATCATATCATTTCATTTCATTGTACCGGAATGGCCATATCATTCATATCATAGCATTAATATCATAACTTTAACTTTCATAAATATGAAATTCGTCCACATGTAGCCAAAATAATTAAACGAGAAATTAAAAAAAAATACTGCACCTCATATCCTACCTTGTTAAACTGCTTAAATTTTGGAAGTCAAAACAAGGTTCACGCTCCAATAATTTCTTGGAATAAGAAAACCCAAAATCACGTTGCAACTATCTTTTCTTTTCTTTCTGCCTTATCGTGCAATAATATTACAGTGAAGTGAATGAAAGCTATTGTTTTCATATGACATAATAAAAATATCTATATAAAAAAAAATGAGGAAACGTGTGGGAGTGGGGAAAGAGATATGGATCAAAATAGTTGAAACAGAAACTTGACCCAAATCTTGCCAACGGCCCACAATTTAAAAAAATAATTTATATCTTACACGTGACAGTGCACCATATATATACAAGGGAATTTGTTTTAACCATTAGGAACGTGGCTTCCCATAATTCTCTCTCTCTCTCTACTTTATTTCATTTAATAAACAAATCAATTATCACTTACCTACCACCTACTTAGAATCCTGTTACTTCACGTGAGACCTCCCAATGCAAAACACACTTAATAAAATATTATTATTAATAATAAAACAATAAAATATCTCAACAACTTTCATCTCTCTCTCCACTTAAATTCTTCCAAACAAAAGTAATAAAGATAATATTTTAATGTTATATCTTCCGGCTTCGATAACTTGGGCTCGACTAACCCAAATTAATTTTTTCTCGAGTCTAAAATGCGTTTTTAATTATTTTCTATCCAACGAGCCCAATATCCGTATACTTATCATCGTCCCGTCAATATTTATATTTTAATCTAAATATTATTAAAGTTTACTTTATATACACTTTAGTCCTTAAATTTTCAAAACATTAAAAATATAGCATAAATAAAATTAAATTATATTCTATAAAATTTCGGGATATTATAGCTTCTCTGTTGGGACAAGAAATCTGAGAAAGGTGAAATTGCTATATGGCAGAAGAAAATGGACGCCAATTTATGTCATGCGGTCATGCCACGCAAGAAAATTTAGGAGCTACATTTTTTGAATCTAATGATCCCGAATTCCCGATGATGCCTGGTAAGTGTCAGTGTTGTTAAGTGAAGAAACCATAAAACGTGAAATTCATGGATCCCACGATAGATGCATTGCAGCAAACGCACATTTTCTGGTGCCTTAAGTTGCAAAACTAAATCATTTTTGTACGACATTTGGGTTTGGTTGGGTACAAGATGATGGAACTATGCATTACTCCATACAGCAATGCTAACAGGGTTGAAAGCTCTTGTGGAGATTTCAAGCCTTTCCCTGAGAGACTTTATGCTATGCTCCCAAGAATTGCCAGTGTAAGGACCCAAATTTTTACCTTTGGAATCATTATACATATACTGTAAGATGATACTTTTCCTAAACAATGAAAAACATAATTTTTTTTTTTAACATGAAATGATTAAAATAAAAAATAAATTAAACTAAACATCATTAAAATCTTTAACTTAAACTTAAATCACTCTTCATTTCATGCACTCAAGCACAATCCACCTTCGATCGTCTCAAACCCGCCCTTTCTAGTTACCTATAAAGTTTTTAACATAAACATGTGAACCATAAATCTCAGTAAATGAATAATAACGAATTTGCATCTTATATTTAATTACGAAAAATCATAATATACATATGGAGACACGGGAATTAAAATCCGAACTTCGTGGCTATAATTCACATGAGTAGTGCTACTAAACTCCGATCCTTTGAACTTACACACATATGACCTTTATCATAATCATAACTTGAATTTCGGACATCATATTAATAATATAAATTTTCGTAATTTAAATAATGAAAGAACAATTCGTACTACTACACTTACCTTTCACTTGACAATTCAAAATGATAGAAGAAGTGATTGTTGGAGGAAGATCATTGAGCCGCGTGTTGGGTTGTGTGATTGTGTAAGTATATGACCAAATTTAATATGAAAAAGACGAGAAAAGATAAAATTCTTGAGACAAAGTGATAGAGATAGAGAGGAATAATGTAAATAATTGGTAAGGTATAGTCCAATGTTGAGTTTAACTCCTATTTATAATGTAAGTTCTTGGACAATTTATAGAAAATTGAAAGAAAATGGCTAGATATTAGGTATGATCAAAATATAATTGATGCATTGTCTTGAAAGTTGTCAACTCAATTCCTTTAATCATGTGATCAAATCAATTGACTTGGCTTGAAACTTACTGTAGATAATGCATGTGGTCAAATCAATTACCTTAGTTTATGTGGTTAAAGTAATTACTTTGCTTAAAATATGGTAAATAATACATGTGGTCAAATAAATAATTTTTAATCATGGCTAATTGATATATTTACATATATTTTACATATAATTTCATTGAACTTCCAAATTAACTCTTCACTTAAGCCCTCAAACTATTGACTAGTAGTTAATAAGATCATTAAACTTTAATAATAGAGCACTTGAGTCCTATTTTTTAATCTAATGACTAGTAATAAAAAATTTGGGATATTACAACCTACCTCCTTTAAATTAAATTTCATCCCCGATATTTACCTTGGAACTCCTCGAAGAGTTGTGGATACTTGGCTCACATATCAACTTCTTGCTCCCAAGTAGCTTCTTCTATTGAGTGATGTTGCCATAACACTTTAACCAATGGGTATCTCTTTGTTGTGTAGCTTCTGTACTTTTTGAGTTATGATGCATATTGGTGCTTCTTCGTAACTTAGGTTCAGTTGAATATCTAACGGTTGATGTCTCACCACATGAGTTGGGTCAGGGACTTACTTTCTGAGCATTGATACATGAATGAGATTGTGTACAGTTGAAAACTCTGGTAGTAAGGCTAACTAACTGGTATGCATCATTTCCAACCGGCTTTAAAATTTCGAAAGGACCAATGTATCTTGGACTGAGCTTACCCCTTTTACCAAATCCTAGCACCCCCTTCATGGGGTGTAACCTTTAAAAGTACTTTATCTTCTATCGCAAATTTCAAGTCATTTCTCCTTTTATCTGCATAATTTTTCTGTCTATCTTGATCCTTCTTCGTGCTAACTCTGATCTTTTCGATTGCTTGTACTGTCTGCTCCACAATTTCTGGGCCCAAGATCTTACGTTCGCCAATCTCATCCCAATGAATAGACAATCTACATTTCCTCCCATATAAAACCTTAGAGGATGCCATGCCAATAGAGGCATGATAGCTATTATTGTATGTAAACTCAATTAAATGTAGATGCTTTTCCTAATGTCCACCAAACTCTAGGACACACGATCACAATATATCTTCTAATGTTTGAATTGTCTATCAGTTTGAGGGTGGAAAGCTGTACTAAAGTTCAATTTAGACTAGTGCTCTAATACTACTAGTAGTGGTATTACAGCACCAATCTAAATGACATTATGAAAATAATCGATAGATTTAATTAAATAAACCATGTGAAAGAGCATTTAAGTGAATCTATCATTTAATGTTATGCAATTGTCATCTAAACTAGTGCTGCCACGAGCAATGTTAAATAGAATTACTTTCTTATATTTTCTAACCTGACGCGTGGTTATGAATATCTTAAATAGAATAATGTTATTTAACATCAGTGGTGCTAGAGTACCAATTTAAGTGGCTATATTTAATATGCTCAATTACACAAGTCATATGACTTTGCGTTTAAATGAATTTATAATTTAATGACATATAATTGCCACCTAAAATGGTGTTTAACACTTGTGAATCTGTGATGATGAATAGCGTTGCTCTCTCAAATATTGTTTACTGGGAAATTTGGAGTAAATGGTCGCTAACATTTTTCTTCAGTGCGTAAATGGTCTTTAACATTTGTTTCCTGACATTAACATCCCTAAGCGATATGTTTGGTGGCTAGTTGGTCCTTTTTATGAAGACTATTATGCCCTTAATTTTGATTAAGAAAAATTGCGGTTAGGTCCCTAGCGTTTGGAAAACGTGTAAATGGATCTCGTACCTTTACATTTTTTCATTTTTTTTTTTTTTAAATGAAAAGTTAAACTTCCCTACCGAGTTATTTTTTCTGTTGTTTAGTAAGATTTTATTGACCAAATTGATAATATACGTAAATTGTTTTGTACATTTTACACATTATAATGAAATAACTTAAATTAAAGCTCATAATTAATAGAAGAAATCATTGCTTTTACTATTAAACAATTACACAACTAAAATATTTAAAATTCTAACTTATGGTTACGACAATAAAAGAAACAAAACCTTGTGTCATTGATTTTATCTTTAATAATTTTATTTAATTGAGTATAAATATTCTAAGTACTTGAAAATAGAAGATCTATTTACAAATTTCTCTTCAACAATATTACCAACGCCCCTAAATCCCCCAGTCACCAATTATTGCCTTGTTCGGTTTGTTTCTCCTTTTCTCATTCTTTAATCTTTTATCGAAAAGTATATATCCCTCAAAATATATTTCACGGGATAATATATGACATCTCACGAACATATCCCTTTTTAATCACACAGTTCATCGTCGAATATAAGATGCCACAAACTTATAACCTCATAGACACAAGAATACAAACGTTCACCTAAATTGGACAATTTATATAGAACAGAGATACTTGTCCGCGGTTTTCCGTTATTAAAAAAAAAAGAAAAGAAAAAAAAAGGGATGAAGTTCACGTGAACTCATTAACGGTTTGAGTGCTCTATCAATTTTCCTGAACAATAATTCTAGAAACCCTAGCCCTACCCCAAATCCGTCTAGCATTATTTCAACGTTTCAATAATCTTCTAGTTCTTTGTCTACGAATAATTTCAGCTCAGAACACCATGGAATCCAGTGAAAATTCTGCGAAACCCGCAATAACAACAACAACAGCAAGGCAACTTTTCCATTTCTCTCAAGTGAATTTATGAGAACCCTTTGTTATGTTGCGGGGAAAATCATTCTTATTACTTAGAAATTCGTTTTTCTTACGAACTTAAAACAGTTAGAACTAAGAATATAACGATTTTTAAGTTCGAACTAAGAATATAAAGATACCCCGTGTTAGTGATTCGTTTTATTTGTGGGCAATGCATTTGTTCTTTGTTAATGTTTTTGGATTACTTGGCTGGTTTTATTTGTCGTTGTTACTGTTTTGCGAGGTGTTCATTATAATTAATACAATCAGATTGTTGATTTTCATTTGCTCGTGTTTGCAATACTTGGTATTCTTTTAACTTGCCATTATAGAAGTAGCTGAAGATCAAATTAGTTTTTGACTTCGACAAAATCGAACTGATTCTAGCTGTCCAAAGTGGATACAATGGACACGTGGACTAGATCAAACTAACTCCGATTATTCTAACTGACTAACTGAAGTTCCCGCTCGCATATTCCAGCTGCATCTCTTGCACATGTGTCGTCTGTTACTCCCCCTCAAGATGGAAGGCGAGGGTTGACAACCCCCATCTTGGATAGTCGAGGAAACAACAAGGTAGCTGGTAACGCCTTCGTAAAAATGTCAGCCAATTGGTGAGAAGATCGAACTGGTAAGAGCTTGATAGAACCATCACAAACTCTGTCTCGAACAAAATGACAATCTATCTCTATATGCTTAGTTCGTTCGTGGAAAATTGGATTAGAAGCAATATGAATTGCCGCTTGATTATCACAAAAAATTAAGACAGGATCCTTTTGTATGATCTGAAAATCAAGAAGTAGTTGTTGAAGCCAAATCAACTCACTGGCGGTTGAGGCTAATGCACGGTACTCAGCTTCTGCTGAAGATCTGGATATGGTGGACTGCTTCTTAGCTTTCCAAGAAATCAAAGAGTCTCCAAGAAAAACACAAAAGCCGGTGACTGATTTTCGTGTATCAAGACAGGAGCCCCAATCTCTGTCTGTAAAGGCTCTCAACTGATGTGAAGAATGTGTAGAAAACATGAGTCCTTGCCTTGGAGTAGCCTTGATATACCGCAAAAGATGGTGAGCTGCATCCAAATGAGGCTGTGTGGGCTGTGAAACAAATTGGCTCAACTTGTCGACTGCAAAAGAAATATCTGGTCTTGAAATGGTTAGGTAAAGGAGACGGCCAATCAACCTCCGATACATGGAAGGATCAGTAATCAGATCACCCTCAAAAGAACTAAGCTTGAGTTTAGGATCCATAGGTAGAGTGGCTGGTTAGCTAGCCAAGAATCCAGTGTCTTCTAACAATTGCAGAGTATATTGTCGTTGTGACAAAAAAAGCTGGGATCTGGCTATTTCTAGCTCAAGAAAATACTTCAAATTGCCAAGGTCCTTTAGCTTAAAATGAGTGTGCAAAAAGACTTTTAAACAATCAATTTCATGCTGGTTGCAACCTGTAATGAGAATGTCGTCCACATATACTAGAAGGGCAATGAAGTTGTTACCAGAACCTTTGGTAAATAGTGAGTAGTCGGACTTTGATTGTTTAAAACCATGAGTAATGAGGGCATCGAAGAATTTAGAGAACCATTGCCGAGGATGCCTGCTTAAGACCATAAATTGATTTGTGAAGTCGACAAACCAAATTCTCCCCCTGAATGCGAGAATCAGCATATGCTCTATATCCCAGTGGTAACTCCATATATATTTCTTCGAAGAGATCCCCGTTAAGAAACGCATTATTGACATCAAGCTGTGTGATATGCCAATTCTTGGCAGCTGCTATGGCGAGGAAAACTTTTACAGTAACTAGCTTTGCGACTGGGGAGAAAGTCTCAGTGAAATCTAAACTCTCTTGCTAGGTATAGCCTTTGGCGACCAAGCGCGCTTTGTATCTGTCCACACTACTATCTGACTTATACTTGATCTTGTAAACCTATCTGCAGCCAGTTGAACAATAGACCAGGTATTGTTTGTTTCCATAGCATCTAATTCGGCTACGATGGCATCCTTCCAATGATCATGTTTAATAGCCTGATAATAGAATTCAGGTTCAAAATTTGATGAAATAGTTAGAAGAAATTGACGATGAGATGGTGCAAAAGTTTTATAAGAGAGCTATTTAGATAAAGGATATGGTGATGATTCATAAGGCTGTGGAGTATTGATGAGAAGATTACAATGAAAATCTCGAAGATAGGAGGGCGGTCTGATAAACCTGACTGACTTTCTGGGAATATCATTTATGGAAGGAGTGTTGATAGGAGGAGAATTGGGCTGCAATTCATGTATATTGTTGGTACTTACAATGTGTTCATCAGAAAAAATATTGGGCTGTGGTGTGGACAAGGGTAACTTAGGAACAAAAATAGGAATGGCAAGATCAGGAAAGGGATCGATGACATCAGATTGGTAGGGAATAGATTGAAAAGGGAAAATATGTTCATGGAAAATCACATCTCTAGAAATGAAAAAGGTTTTAGAGACAATGTCATATACTTTATACCCGTTTATTCCCGGAGGATATCCCATGAAAACACAGGTTCTAGCTCTAGGATGAAACTTCGTTCGACTAGAAGGTAAAGTAGACGCAAAACACAGGCTTCCAAACACTTTAAACTGACTATAATCAATCGGGGCATTGTATAGAATGGAGAAAGGACTTTTGTTTTGTAAAATGGGAGATGGAAGTTTGTTGATGATGAAGGTGGCAGTCAGTATACATTCACTCCAGAATTTGATGGGGATTTGTGACTGAAAGAACAAAGCTCTGGCAACATTCAGTAAATGGTGGTGTTTTCTTTCAACAACGGAGTTTTGTTCAGGCCTTTCGACACAAGTGAACTGATGAAGAACTCCTTTAGAATGAAAGAAATCAGTGAACCTTAACTCGGGTGCATTGTCAGATCGAAATTTCTTTATTGTCTTGTGAAATTGAGTTTCTACTAATTTGAAAAATCTGGGCACAATGTAACTAACATCTGATTTGTTCTTCATGAGGTAAACCCATGTAAATCGCGTACAGTCATCTACCAAGGTAAGAAAATAGCAATGTCCGGAGTGAGATGGAATATGATAAGGCCCCCATGTATCGCAATGTATTAAATCAAAAGCATTGGCAGAAAAATGATTATTTGAGACAAAAGAAAGTCTTCTTTGCGTTGCTAATGGACAAATGCTACAAGGAACGTTGCTGTAATTCTTGAACTTATCACAATTCAAATGCAAATGATCCTTTAGGAGAACTAACTTCTGGAAGGATGGGTGCCCTAATCTGTGGTGCCATGTATGAACATCCACTTTATTTGCCGAAGAAATTGAAACACAAACTTCATCAATCAAACTGTTATCTTCATTGATTTGTGCTGACTCAAATGGAGTATCACTCATCACATATAAACCTGCAACTCTTTTACCCCTGCCAATCATCCTCTTGCTGTGCATATCCTGGATAATACACATGTTAGTGAGGAATCTGACATCAATACAATGGTCCTTGGTCAATGAGCTAACCGACATTAGATTGAATTTAAAATGCGGCACATACAGTACATCTTCAAGTATCAAATTAGGACCAAATCTCAAAGTGCCAATGAATTTTACAGGGATCCTCTTATAATTTGGCAATGTAACATAGGCATTCTTTACTGGCTTCACATTCTGGAAGGCTGATAAATTGAAGCAAATATGGCTGGTTGCCCCAGAGTCTAATACCCAATGCCTAGGTGAATTGAGCCATGGATTAAGGGAGATTGAGAAACAAGTACCTGATACTTGATTAGAGTGCTCATCAATTCCGGTGTCCACCTTTGCAGAGACCAAATGACTGCTTAACATACTCAATAATTTCTGGTATTGATCAGGATTTAAGGATTGCATAAAGTCTCCCCCAGCACTGCTTTTTACTTGCTCTGAGTAGGGCTCAGAAATTACATGATTTGCAGCAGCTTGCCTTCACGGCACCTGATCTTTGTTTCATTTTATATCCAGGAGGATATCCATGTAACTTGTAACATTTCTCCACTGAGTGACCTTCCTGCCCACAGTAGGTGCACACTGGTTTGTCCTTTCTTTGGAACCTGGTATGTGTTTGCCCTGTATTGAGTTTCCTAGAGTCAGCCTTTGCATAAAACGCCATTGAATCTCCAGTGCCGGAGCTTCCTGCATTGGCGTTTATGCTCCTTTGATGCTCTTCCTGGGAGATTAAGGAAAACACCTTATTGATAGAAGGTATGGGGTTCATAAGTAGCAATTGTCCCCTGACCTGTGCAAAGGTATCATTTAATCCCATCAAAAAGGACACAACGTACTCCATCTGGTAATGATCTGCTATCTTCTTGTTACCGCCACAAGCACATTTTCCACAGGAACATACCGGCCGATAGTTGCTCAATTCTTTCCAAATTGTTTTCAATTTGGTAAAATAAACACTCATAGACATCTGGCCTTGAGTGAGATTCATTAGCTCAAGTTTTAACTGAAAAATTCTTGGTCCATTTCTCTGCTGGAACCTCTCCTTCAAATCAACCCATCTATCATGTGCTGACTCGGAGTAAATGACACTTGCTGAGATCTCTTTTGACACGGCATTGAGGATCCAAGCTATGACCATGTTGTTGTTGTGAATCCAACTGTTAATTTGATCATCACAAACTTTCAGGTTTGGATAACGATCCATCCACAAAACCTAGTTTATTCTTCACGGATAGAATGATCATCATTGCTCTACTCCATGAAGCATAATTGTCACCAGTGAGGGGCTGTGACGCCAACATCAGTCCCGGATTATCTGAGTGGTGAATATAGTAAGGGCTAGATACATCCTCAACAAGAGAATTGCTCACCAATGATGATGAATTTGTTTGGTTCGAAGCATTCATAATTGATGCCATTATCGAATCAGAAGAAATTGATCAATGAGGAACACAATTAAAGTTTGAAATGGCAAATGGCAGAAGCACAAAGCTCTGATACCATAACAAAACAATGAAGAGGAAGAAAAGAATCAATTGTATTCCAGATCGTAAATGTACATTACATTGCTGAGTATAAATAGACAAATGCGCAACAAAATCGAACTGGTTCTAGCTGGACAAAGTAGATACAATGGACACTTGGACTAGATCAAACTAACTCCAATGATACAATGGACACGTGGACTAGATCAAACTAACTCCAATTTTTCTAACTGACTAACTGAAGTTCCCGCTCGCATATTCCAGCTGCATCTTTTGCACGTGTTGTCTGTTAGGTTGCTAAGATACAACAACCTGAAAAGGATCTCGTGTAGGAAGGTTTAGAAGGTGAGAAATATAAGAGGTTTAACAGTGGACAGATTGAGAGATTCCATACGTTTTTATCTCCTTTTGCTTATTTTGAGAGCCGGGTGTAGTCAAACTTGTAGAGATTTTTGGAAGGCTTCTTAGAAAATGTTTTCCTTGAGTTTAAAATGCAACAATCCCTTTGATGCCTTATCATATAGGTGATACTCTAATTATATCATAAGGAATCAGAAACTTTGTCTATCCATCTCTCTCATAGACAAAATGTACTGCACTAGGTTCTTGTGAACTCTCTGTTTATGATCAATTTAAGCTTTGTGACATTATGCTGACCGGCTATCTTCATTCCACAGTAATTCGTCACTTACTGTTTACTTTATAATAGATTGGTTGGCATAAGTTGACACTGTGCATTACAAAATCAACCCATACTGACGGCTTAACTTTATCATATTCTAATATTTGAATAATCCCCCTAAATTACTGGAAGTTGTGTGTAATTTGTGATTGATTCCAGGCATAAGTGTGCAGCATGTTTCAAGCAGTATAAGAAAAAGGAGCATCTTGTTGCACATATGAAAATCTCGTATCACTCAGTTCACCAGCCTCAATGTGGTGTGTGTCAAAAGCATTGCAAATCCTTTGCATCACTAAGGGAGCACTCGACTGGTGATATACGATACTACAGTTTGGAAAATTTATATGTCAAAGGTTGACTCAGGTGCTCATACGTATAATCATTTTTTCAAACCTTTAGGTTCACTGGCTAAAGGGAATTGTTCAAAGATATCCTCTGAAAGAGGTTGCAGCCTCTGTATGAGAATTTTCGACAGTCCAGTTTCTCTCTGTGAACACCTGGAAATCTGTTGCCTACCTGCTCCTTTCCCCATTGTGAGTTGACCTGGGAAACTTTCCCTCCTTTTACCTTAAACACAAATTCATAGATTCATAAGCTTTTTTTTTTTTTCAGGAAATATTATGGTTGTTGGAAAATGGACTTTGAATGTTACAAGCATGTGAACGTCAAAAGTTTTGTTTTATTATACAGGATTTTGTGAAGATGCATTGGACTGAATCTCAAATTGATACTAATGACAGTGGGAGGATTCCTGAAGCAATCGCTATGGATTGCGAAATGGTTGGTGGAGGAAGTGATGGGTCACTGGATATATGTGCTAGGGTGTGCCTTGTTGATGAAGAGGAAAAACCGATTTTCCATACTTATGTAGTACCGCTAATTCCTGTTACCAATTTTAGGTATCTGGGTTATGCATATGATCTATTTATTCTTTAAGTTTTTAATTAGGTTAATAGGCATGCTCATCAGTTATAATTCTATGTATATTATTGTTTTAGGAACGAAGTTACTGGTATTACTGAGGAGAATATGAGAGATGCTATGCCACTCAAGGAAGTGCAAGATAAAATTTTGCAGATTCTCTACAATGGAGAGTCGATTGGAAGATTACGGTTACATGGTGGCAAAGCTAGAGTTCTTGTGGGTCATTCCCTTGGGCACGATTTAAATTGCTTGAGAATGAATTATCCTGATCATCTCCTGAGGTGAAGTCATTTTGGGGCAATTAAGGTTACAAATCCATTTTCATGAGATTACATTGCATCCAACAACCTGTTCGAAGAAATTGATTTATTGTCTTCAATGAGAATGGACTTCTTGTGTGGAGGCTCGTGGACAATATACAGAGCTCATTATATTTTGGTTTATGGTGATTTATGTTCTTTAATTCCAAATCCTACTCCCTTTCCTTTGTCCCATCTCCAAAAAAAGGGAGGAAATAAGCACCAGAAAATGGGGAGGATCGATCTTAAAAGGCTAACTTATTGGTTTATAAATTTTAATGATTTCATATTTTCTTGAATTAACTTGACTGAGTTCTCGCCAGTGGATTGTAATATGAACTTCCATTTCTACCTAGTGTATCTGCGAGCTGGTCATTGTATACTGATTGTCCTTGAATTTTAGCTTCTATAATCAAGAGTAATGAAATAAGAAAGATGTAGATGAAATTGTTTTGCTGCGTACTCCGTTGCGCTTAATTTTTCACCCTCTTTATGTGCAGGGATACAGCAAAATACCCTCCCTTAATGAAGACAAACCTCGTCAGCCACTCGCTCAAGTACCTCACCAAGACCTCTCTTGGGTAAGTTGCCATCCAGTGATTATTCTTGGGTTCCTTTTTTGCTAATTTAAGATACAATTTACCAAAGGAATAGAAGAGCTTTGGAGCTAAATGGAAGTACCAGAGACTAAGTATATAAAAACAACCTGAACGACTCTTAGGGGTGGGCGTGGACATTTACAAGGGATTTTTGGCATTCCCTCTGAATAGTCCCCGGTTTTCGTGGGCTTCCTATTAGTTGCTATTCATAAGTATCTGTCATTCCCTCTGAATAGTCCTCGATTTTTCTTTGGCTTCCTTTCAGTTACTAATCCATAATCTCCAATTTTTTTGTCATGAACTCTAGACCAAGTGAAAAATATATTGAAGTTAATAATGTTCTCTGTGTAACTGCAAGAATGGCAGCTTCAGACAAGCAATATTTTTACAGTGAACTTTTCTGAAAATTGACAGTCTGTTTCTCATGATCATTGATCTGAATTGAGATTTCAGTAAGATGGCCCAACAGTTTTGTGGTCAAATAGGAAAAATGGTTTTCATCTTTAAGTGCAATCTCCATATACTGCTAAAATAGTTTAGTAGGGTAACTATTCTAGTCGATTTGCAATTCCTTTAAATGTTTTGTTCATGAATATTGTAAGTTTGGTTGATGACATGGGCTTTGGTTTAATAGGTACGATATCCAGTCGGGGTTGCATGATCCTTACGAAGATTGTGTATCAGCAATGAGGTTGTACAAGAAAATGCGGTCACAATGTCACCCAAGAAAAGATATGGGGATGTTATTGGCTGCTCATAATGCATCTACCAACACTTTTGATTCTTGGAAGCCCAAAGAACTTGAGAATATGACACCAGATGAACTTTTCAATATCTCCAAATCAAATTACAAGTGTTGGTGTTTGGATTCAGGGCCTCTTTCGTGATTTGGAAATTCTTTAGGTAGTGTGTATATATAGTTAACGACCACCGAGATATTGTTGGAAATGAAGAGAAATAAGTTAATAAATCCATATTGGGTTTGATGGACAGTTTTAAGAAAACAGTAGTTTAAAATCTTGTCCATCCTTTATAAGAAATTGTTTTCTTGCCCACGGTGGGCGCGATAAGATTGCTTACCTGTTGATGTGGCAGGTGTGAGACTTGAAATAAGGTTTTCTTTGAGGTGGACAAAATAAAACTTTCCCTTGTAAACAAGAGAATAGGAGCGCAAGTATATACAGTCCAGTTAAATGGGTCTACTTGAATTTGTGACTAAGTCTCCATTAATGAATTAAAAGTAATAAACTAATAACATTATCTTACACTAAATGTTACTAATCTCCATCAATGCAAAAAATATACAGACACAATGGTGCATCAAATTTACAACAGGAAAATGACTCCATATCAATACGTGGAATCACTGACCGTACAAGAAAGAAAAATCTGTAAATTCCATGCGGCGGAGTACCTAAGCCAGCCAATTCCGATGACATATAGATACATTACGGTCTACTGACCGTCCAAATCATCACCACTCTCATCATCAGCAGCTTCATCTTCATCGGACGATAGTGGCACCAGCAAACATGTCCCGTGCAAGTGCCCATTCAGGCACACGAAATACTCTAATCCCTCATCGTGCGAGCCGAGTCTCCTAGCCGCACTCTTCTTGGGAACAAGCCGAGCCGCTGTCATACTCCAGACCCGAGTCCCACAATAAGGACATCGGATTTTCTCCTCAAACTCCACCCGGCGGTTTATCAAACACTCCCGGGTCCTCGACTTCTTAAATTCCCGAAATACCCCTCTATAAATACCTAAATCGTACTCTTTGCCCCTTGCTGGATGCTCACACGGGTCGCTCAAATATAGCACATCTCCTCTGCATTTCTTCGTCAAAAAGCTCTGACCCGAAGTCTTCGAAAACCGGGACTCCTTCATGAAATGACCGTGCAAGGGTTGACTCAGTCTAATACACCGAGTCGACTCACATCCGCAACAGAAAAATAGTAATTTCGCCATCGACTGCCATCCGCCGCAAATTCGGCTGTTAGGCACACCATCCATCAATGTAGCTATCATTCGAGGTGCGCGATACACGCATAGCTCCCTCCAGAGAAGTCGTTTCGAGACGGCGCGAAGTTTATGGTTAACAGACGCAGTCGCGCAAAGATCTCGAATATCCCATTTTAAAGACTCGAAGACAAGGACGAGAATACGCTCATTGAAAATCCCGGACTGGGAAGACTCAGTAGCCTGGTGAACCCTCCGTCTCTGACTCGGAGACTCGCTCATTCTTACTACGACGATGGGAGGAATTATCCTCTGCAAACGCATATATATATGCATGTAACGAACAGAGGGACACGTGGCAAAGAATTAAATAATAACTACCTAGAAATCATTAGTCCTCAGCATGTGAGACACGCGTCAAAGATTTATTCAATAAGACTATCGTTGCCACTGAAGATTGGTTGAGCGAAGAATCGAAGAGAAACGTAACCGTGCGGACTGTAGTGGAGATGATGCCACGTGGTTGATAGGAAAAAATCTCTATCATGCTAAAAATATCGGGGAGGAATACGTGGCTAATTTTGGGGAAATGAATGACTCGCAACACTAAAATATCTGGGATGTACGATTCTTTGTTGCTCCACGTATAGATTCTGGACTTTGAATTGACTGTGATTTGACATCACATCGAACGGTCGGTTTATGTTGATACAGAATGAATAAAGCAAATAATATCTGAAAAAACGATAAATAAATACTAAAAAAATAAAAATTTTGTTAGTTAGGCCTATCCCGTTGCAATGTGTTTGGTATAGATAGGCACAATCCCCTTCCCCAGTGTCAAGGTACGATTCTCTTGTCACATCAACAATGATTAATTTTTTTCTTGTTCACTGAAGACAAGAGATCTATTTTATTGATGTAAATTTTAACTCAAGTCGAAATCATTAATAATTATGTACATAATTCTATTTTTTTATAATGTTAGGATTAGATAGTAATGTTTCGACACTTTCGATAGAACTTTTGATTCTTATGGGAAAGTTTCATAAGAAGCTTTGTTACACCAATTTCCTTTATAAATTCATTTAATCGGATAAAATATTTTCAGAAAATTATTCAATTAATTCAAATGCAATTTTTTAATTTTATAAGTAACTTTTGACTTTTCAAAAATTATACAAAAACGAACTCTTCAAACTATCTCAAGATTTGACATATATATAAACAAGCCATCAAGGGCTTGCTATTTGTAAAAAATAAGAAACATTGAATTCGAAGATTGAATAGTTGACATGTGCGTTCATATAAGATAAGTTCCTCTTAAGCTCGAAAGCAGTGTTTAATATATCGATAGTGGTAGTTTTAGAGGATTTATCCGGTAAACTTGATTTTACTAACAATCTAATTTATTTTAAGCATCTTTTTTTAAAGGAAAATTCTACTTGTACATAATTATTGCACATAATGGTGTCCATAATGTGATGTGGCAATCATTCGATTGTTGATATGCAAATGTGAGATTTGAATTAAATGTTGGATCAAGTACCACGTGTAATTATGGACACCATTATGTAAACAATTATATAAATGTAGCACTTCCATTTTTTAAATAGATGTTATAGTCGAGCTTTTGTATTACTGGAACTATTGAAGAGAGTGTGGGGCTCTCTGCCTCGGGCAAAAGCCGAACGAGTTAGAGTTACTATTTTCTCACATTTGGAGCATGTTTGTGAGTAATTTTGAGAATTGATTTTTTGATCGTTAAAAGAAAAGTAGGGTCCACATGTGAGTGAAGAAGTCAAATATGATGGCTGAAATAGTGAAATAACGGTCAAAAAATCAATTTTTTTGGGAAAAAAATCACTCCCAAAGATGACCTTGAATAATTAAATTAACTTCATTGTTTGACATACTATAATTTGCTAATTTTGATTTATAAAAGCATTTATATTTGACAGTATATCCAAATTTTGATCCGCTTGTATCATTATCGACCATTATATCTTTGTCTTTTCCTTATTTTGTCATTTCCTTCTTATTTTCGTCATGATATATATTTTTATCTTATTTATCTGCAAGCTGAACAGTGAACATCACCTTTGGAATCCACATGGAAAGAGCGCAAGGTTAGTGCGTACAATTATTGGTTAGTTTTTTATCCAATGAAATCAATACAAGTGGTCCATTGTGGGGGTCTTTTATCTGGACGCGTGGCAGCCTGGCAGGTATAGAGATATCTTTTTTTGGACAACTTTGTATATTTTAAGTAAAAAAAACTAATTTAAAATTTTAAACTTGTTGTAAACAGTAAGTGTATTAGAGTTTAGAGGTAAATGACAATATACTTTTGCAGTCCTAAAAATTATTACTGTTGTATCCCTGATTTTGTCCTATAAATTAGGATTTTGGATTTTAATAAAATACACACAAGTCTATTGACTTTTCTCTGTTCACTTCTCTTTTCTTCACTTTTATAACACGTTATCAGCATATTCAACACGATAACTTAATTTTTCAAAATTTAATGAAGGTAATAATTTTTATAAGTATGAATATTTATCACGTATATCAAAATTACTTTGGTAACATGTGAAATATTTCGATTACATATGCATCATAACGAGGTTGCTTCTTCTTCTCTACTTTTCATTGGTATATACATTAATTCTAATTCACGTTTGTATGTGTATTCTGAACATATGTTAATTCACGTTGTTTATTCATACACGATCATTTTTTTCCACATATCATTCAGTATTAATTCTGTCTTTTGAATCTGTTACATATTAGTTCTATCTGTAATTTCTATATATGTGAAATTCACATGAATGTTTAGTATCTTTTATATGTTGGTAAAAGATTTAATCAATTTTATTAACTTCTATGTATGGAGATCCTTTTTTTCTTAATGTATGTTTGGTAATTAATTTTTCGATATAAATTCATGTCATGTCTATATGGTAATTAAATATTTTTAGATATTATTCTACGAAATTCAAATTAAGAATTTATCATCGTATTGTTTCAAAAATAGCACAACATTATAATTAATATTCCAAAAGACTATTAATTGTATATCTATCTATTATAAATAATTTGTTGTTGCTCCTGAAGTAGCACAACATTATTAATATTTTAGAATAATATTACTTTCTTATAAAGAGCATGATATTACAAGTTCAATATTCCAAAAAGAATATTGACTCAACGCTCCTGTAAAAACATAATTTAAATTATAGTTATTTTAAACGAATATAATGTTGATGTTCTTGAAAAAATGTAACACACGTTATATAAATATTCATGAATAATATTTCATTGTTACTCATGTAAGGTATAAATTTTATTATTTAGCTCGAAAGGTATAATAAATCGTTAATGTCAATATTCCAGAAGAATATTGTATTTATACTCATGTAGAGCATAAATTTTATATTGAAGATTATGTGTCTCGTTGTGTTTCAAAATAAAGCACATTTTATATATATAAAAATAATATTAAAAAAAAGGTTGTGTTGGTGTACCTGAAGAAACATGTTGTTATTAATATTTTTAAAAAACAAGAAAAATATTAATTGCTCTAAAAGAATATGATATTATAATTTCAATATTCCTGAAAAATATTGATCGATTATATGTAAAATCAC